GGCATTAAGCTGACCACTCACTTCCAACTAGTGCAGAGGTCACGAATATGTGGCTGTATACATCCACTCCCCCATACGCCTTCATAGTGTAGTGCGTAATTAGTTAAGCACAGGGACAATTTTACCTTTTATGCTCGGCAGAGGAGCCGCGCCTTTTTCATGAACTCCAAACTAGGACATAAACTGTCTGTCATTCCAGGTACAAAGCAGGCATTAGAGAACGAAACATCTTACCTATGTCGCATAATCGATATCTCGTGGATTCGATTCCACGTGTCCTTATCACTGTTTCCCTTTGTTTCGCCAGAAGACCCAAATGAATGCAGGAGATAATTCTCTCAAAATTCTACACCGCTGATTAGCACTCTCTTTCATACTGATATAATTGCAATTACTAATTAAACTACCTTTCTTTATATTATTTATACATTTAATTCTATAACTATTACGGAAAATTTAGAGAGCTTTCCCATGCAAAACATGTACTTTAACCTACTGCCAAATGTTTCATGAAGATCTGCTTTGTTTAACCACTGCATAGCCAGCGTTCGTGAATGATGGATTGGGAAGAATATGCAAGGAAGCCATAGTGGTCTATTACGAGTATAAGGTGTTATTTCAATAATTTGGCGGAGGGACTCGCGTAAGCCACGAACAACCTGGGTCAGAATTCCCACATTCCAGGCAGAGAATCGAACTCGGGATATTCGGAATGCGAAATAGAATTTCTAAGCATTCAACCAAGACATTTATTTTAATCCCTGCACTGGGCAATAAAACAAAGTTTATAATTGTCTCTTCACGTACTCATCACTGTAGGTTAAATTTCTCATCCTTACCGTAAAATCCCATAAATAATACATATTCGCAGCCATACCATAACTTTAGCTGCTAATTCACATATGCATGAAACTGGATTTAACTCTGACGAAGGACAGAGAGTAGGGACGCGCCGTAGCTCAAGCGGTTAGTCGCTGGCGGCCCGGGTTCGATCCCGGGTCTTGTCAAGTGGCAATTGTGGTGAACAAAGTGGCGCTTGGGCAGATTTTCTCCGAGTACTTCGGTTTCCCCTGCCAATCTTCATTCCACCAATTGCTCCACAATCACCCTCACCTATCATCTGGGGCTGGTACAATAGGCCAGAAGTGGTCGCAGTACAAGGGACTCAGTCCCACCCCACTAGCAATAAAAAACAGGACAGAGAGTAACTTTTTTTTAGCGGCCTCCGTAGTCTAGAGGTAACGTTCCCACCTCATGACTCGTAGTACGCGGGTTCAAATACCCGGCGGAGGTCGTCGAATTTTTAAGGGCGGAAAATTTCAGGGAACAAGTCCTCCGGGAGGAACTTTAAGCCGTGGTTCCCGTGCCGTAGCTTTACGGCACGTAAAAGAACCTCATATCTCCAAAGGAGGTCACTGAGCCAAATTGCGGACGTTTCCCGCCCAACAGCAGTCTCTAATACCTCTGGTAGATGGGGGAAGCATTATAGATACCTCTCAGCTAGTAGAGCCGGTCTCGCTGGCTGGGCGGGACTGATGGTAAGCACCAGTACCGGTAGGATATAGAGACTGGTAGAAATCATAGAGGGAAGCACAATGGACCAATACAGGTCTAAGTGCATGGGGAAACCCACCCTCTCCAATAACTAACTAACTAACTTTTTTTTTTGAACAGAATGCTGAAGATTATATTCGGACATAATGAAAGGGAAGTGACGGAAATGGTAACAAACTGCATAAAGCTGAACTTCATATATCGAATTCTAAGAGCAGTTGCATCAGGAAATATGAGACAGGCGGTACGGCATGCATGCAAGAGAAAAACGGGGATGCATACAAACCTTTAATTGAGAAGTTTTAAAAGAACAGAACATTCGGGAGACATCGGCATTGATGGGAAGATATTATTCAAATAGACCTTAATAGAAATTCGCGATTTGATGGAAAAGATTGTACTAGTTTAGTATCGGGTGCAATGGTGAACTTCTCTAAACATTCTGATGAACCTTCGCGTTCCTTCAAGCAGGGAATTCCCCAGTCAGCTGAATAACGAATGTTAGAAGAATATCCTACACCACGAAACTATCTAGTTGAAGGGCTAAAGCAAAGCAGAGTTGTAGCAAATATTAAATTACGTTCACTACTCGATATCAATCAGAAACCATTAGGTTATAACTAAGGATCAGATTTCAATGCAAATTCATATTTCTTTCTTGCAACCAAAAAATATGCTGATTTGGATAAATGCATGAATTACTTCATTTCTTAAATTTTAGACATGGTTTGATGGTGCATATAAATGAACATTTTGCCTGTTTTATGAATAAGCATAATATTTTCGAAAATCTCTATGTATGCTGCATATTTTCTTTTTAAAATGTTTATCATTATATATATATATATATTTTAATTTTATGTGTTACACCTCAGGGGGAGGGGGGTGAGA